TTAAATCCTCACACACAGCAGAGAGTCCGATGCGTTTAACTGAGCGTGTCTCTGTTTCTTCCAGGATGATGTGGGTCAGTTTCCTTTTGACGGCCAGTCTCATGTCCACTGGGTTTCCTTCCTGGACGGCCGGCAGCGGGTGTTGCTGTTCACCGAGGACACCGGCGTGGTGACCAAGGCTCGGCAGTCGGAGGAGCTGGAACAGTTTCAACAGGAGCTGAAGGTGTCTCTACAGAACCTCGGCCTTTCTCTGGTGGACAACAGCAGCCGGCAGGAGATTTCCTACATCGGCATCACCAGGTGAACATCAACAGGCCCTCGATGATAAGCTGTGATGGAAATAACGCTGCTAATTTTTACATGACTTCCTCCGACTGCAGCAACCCAGCTGGACTCTGCAGCTGGCATGAAGCTGTCTGTTGGTCAGGACGCTCAGGGTTCATATTTAAAATAGCACAGAAAGCATTTCTCCTCTGCAGGCTGTTGATAGCTGCGTTATCTGAGACACGTTTCTGAGCATAAACCAGCCTCAACACGACTGACATGAACTAGACAAGCAGTCAGGCTGCAGTGGACTGACCGCGCTCTAACTCTCGTTCACAGCTCAGGCGTAGTGTGGGAGTATAAGCCAAAGAACCGCTGGAAGTCCTTCAATCAGAAGAACATCAACCTGCTGGAGAAGACCTACCAGAGTCAGCTGAGTGAGAAGAAGGAGCTCGGCTGGGTCACACTGGAGAACAACCTGGAGGTCAGAGGTTAACCAAAAGGACCAACCGTTCTGATGGTCTGAGTAAAGCTTACTGATGTCATCGCTTCCTAGGTTAACCTCAACCAAGCTGTCATGAAGATGCGCCAACCTCAGTCCTGCCCGGTGAGGAGGAACTTCCTGTCGGGGATCCAGGTGGAGTTCAAGCAGTCGCTCCACCAGCGCAGCCTGAGAGCCCAGCTGCACTGGTTGCAGGTAAACATGCAAACACCTGAGCCTGAATGAAGTGACCCCCCCCACCCCGTAGCACGACTGTGCAGCAAAACCTTTTAGTTTGTGCCGCCGTCATTTTGAAGATCCGCTCCTCCTGGTTTCAATCAGACATGATTGATCCGGCAGTTTGGACTCTGGAAGCTTTTCATTTCGCCAACGTAGAAAAATCGTTTCACACAATTTCTGTTCGATTTGGATAATGTGTGGGGTGGGGGGTGGAGCTGACCTTTTGACCTTTGAACTTTTACCAATTTAAAACAAAGGAAACAGGAAAATTGATGCTGCACAAATGGTGCTGGATTAAGTGACAGTAGAGAGGCGAGTTATCAATTAATCAATAAATTTCAAGGTTTTTTTTTTAAATAGTGCATCTTTATATTCTGACTTTTTATTGTGTCAGCTGTAGTTGATCATAAGTTTAGCTGTAATATTGACCAAATATGACCAACACATTTTCTGAGACATTATGAAAAATAATTACAAAAAGGAAACT